GAAGAGAGTGAAGAGAGTGAAGAGAGTGAAGAGAGTGAAGAGAGTGAAGAGAGTGAAGAGAGTGAAGAGAGTGAAGAGAGTGAAGAGAGTGAAGAAAAAAAAAAAGCATTATTTTGTTTTAATTTTCACATTACAGATTCCTTTAGTGAGATAACACAAGCCAAGCTGCAGCTTCAAAAAGCTACAAATATCATCTTAATGATAGATCATCTCCTATCACTAACTGATCATTAGTTCATTAGCATTAGTAAAGTGAACTGAACTGAAATGCTTTCAGGAATGTTGCAGACATGTTTCTTCCGTTGTTGAATTGATTTTATAATTTCAAAATGAACAAAATCAAAATACCTAGAAATGAAAAAAAGTGTCCTTTCAAAAACTCCTAATTGCTGAAATACATAAAAATATATCTTTAAGAACAAAAATCTACAATATATACCTAACRCAGCTTTTCCTAAAGTTCATGAGCAGCATCATGAACTTTTTGCACATAAAGACTTGCTTTACACTTCCAGAGCAACTTAGTCTAATTTCAAATTTTTGTCCAASTTTTGAGGCTGGCCCTACACTTAAGTGTCACCTACAGCTTTCTTTGCTGATAATTAAAGTGTTAACTTGCAGATAACTAAAAATAAATTTTATGACATCTTGTGAAGTTGTATATGAAAATGAACAGGAGTCCAATGTTAGACTAGATCACTATATGCTGACAAATGTCATGGTAAACTTCTTCATTAAGACTGAAACAGAATCTATTCTCCATTATTGGTGGGTAGCTTCAGGTGGGTAGGATCAACAGCGCTTAGCCAACTGGCATGGACAAACTCGCCACTTTCTACAATCCAATGAGTGTGGATGGGACTGGACCACAGGCAGGAGCTGAAAAATTTGGTAAATAATTAACATTTTTTTCATTGATTGGACTTAAAAGGTGCTAGAAACTGGTGCGGGACAGGAATAAAGCAATATGACATTCAYTCCTTTTAGAAAATTGAAACTAGAGGAAAACATTTTTCCCCCTCCCCTTCCAAGCTCTATCATCACATTTGCACATAATTACAGCACTCAGTTTTTCTTCTTACATATAATACTTTAATGATTGAAGCCATCACCTGGGAAAACAGGACCAGAGTAAACATATACTCTTACACAAGATGCCTTAATCTTTTATTTTAGTCACAGAACAAGCAGTAGATATTA